TTGACCAGTGTTAGTTTTAAAACAACAAGTGTTACTGTAGATAGGTGTAAATTATATTGTATATTTTAAATATACTGTTTAAAATTACACTAAAATTACCAGTCTGGCACAGCGCATTGCAAAGTTATTTTAAAAAATAAAGCCCCATTTTTATAAATTTTGTGCATTTCTTAATGTGACAGTAAAAAATTCACAGACGAAACAAGTTTATTTCTATTTTTTTTTTTTTTAAAACAGCAGGTCCATTTAAATATCTTATTACAACAACAAGTTCTAATGATCACTTCACTAATGACTGATTTAAGTTTTATACTAGTTGTAAGAGGCTGTTGCCCACTCGCACAATTTTTTTGTGTAGTGTTAAGGTTCAGGTGGATATGGAAATTATATATCCATAATCTATACATTTGTTTTGAGTCAATTGTGGAGTTAGGCATAGTATTGTGGGGAGTATGCAAGGGTTGGTAAATGAGGCTATAGCTATTCTCTGATATTAAAACCATATTTTTGGATTATAGAACTTGGGAGTTTCAAATGTCTATGTCCATATGGTTTACATGTTCTGCAACCTTTTACACACCAAGTGCCATTTTTGCAACCATCAGATAACCGGGTGCCAATGAACAATAGCACACCCTAGCATTAGTTATATATCCATTTTAGCACTCATAATTGTAGTGCTAATAAGTTAAACTCACTAACTATTTTCATTTGTTTACCTTGGTATTAGCAGCACAACTATAAGTGAAACAAAATGTATAACTGGTGCACACACAAAATATGTTCATATTTACAGGTGCAGAAAAGTAAACTGGAATTTTTAGTGTGATCCCTGTGCCTGTATTTCATGGCTCAGTTGTGCTATGTCCAGCCTGTAGGATGTTACTTTCACCTGTCAGACCAGCAGCAATGCACGGTAGACCTCAGACCAGCACCGACACATGCACTGCATGGCCGACCTCAGACCAACACATGCATTGCATGGCAAACCACCACCATTGTACAGCTGACCTGAGACCACCACTAATTCCCTGCAGACTAGCTCCAATTTACACTTTAGCCTGCATATCAGCTACAAACACTGTATGATTGATAAGTTTGAAATTTGCAAAGAAAGAAAAACTGTATTGTAGAAGCAGTCTTCCCTACCTACATGGACCAAGGCATATTAGGCACACACGCAGACCCATAGAAGTGCACAGCAGTATCATCAGTCACAAAAATAATTGATTTTATTCTAGTCCTATATATCAGGGCAGGTATAAAATCAAAGCTATTTCTGGCTGATGATACTGCTGTGCATTTGTGAGGGTCTGCAGGTATGAAAGCTAAGGTTTGTGTAGGTGAGCAGTATGCATGTGACACTTACAGTAATATTCCTGGTGATCCTCCAGCACCTTTTTATTTCTCTTCACTCTGTCAGCCAGTGAAATCTTCATGCCGGGCACGGTGTGGTAAAAGCCTCAGTGTCCAGTAAATCCTCCTGTTGGACAGGTGAGTGAGAAAGCCTGCTCCTGTCCAATAGGCTGGCAGATGAGCAATCCTCCGGGCAGGAAATGGGGCAGACTATTTTAAGGGCCTCCTCAGCACTCTTAACATTCAGCCACATCAAGGAGGTGGGTGGGCCAGGCATGAAATTGACAGCCGGCTCGAGGGAGCTGTCAATTACATGTATGAGATCAAGGATTAGATTGTGTGCCAGCTGCCCAGCCTGGCACGAATGCTGGGGGTTGCTGACCCCTGCTATAGAGCAAACTGTTTTTTTTTTAAAATGTAAGTTCTTAGCCTAAGGAGAAGGGAACAAGTGCATTCTGGGTTCTCTGCCTCCATTTTGGAACAGAGAAGAGAATCTGATGCCATCCTGAGCGCATGTCTGGAGTAAATGCCCAGATTTACCTTACGGGTAGGAACGGACTTGTTTCTCTGAATATTTGTGAGCTATCAGTTTATATATTGATATGTTTTCGTGTTCTTTTTTGCCAGTTTCACCCACCTTGTTTTGTTAAAGCTTCAAGATTTCATCCACTCTGGCATGGTAAACACTTCTATACCACACAACACCAGGCTACCCAACTCAATGCTAATCAGGAATTGTCTGGTTTTAAATCTAGTCTATGTAATGGCAGTGGGGTGTCAGCTGAATGGTTCACAGATGTGTCAGCCTGTAGTCGACCATGGGCAACCAGAATCAGCAGACTCGTTCAATGACAAAGTGAGTGAGTGCATCTCTTTCAGGCAGAGATTTTTTTTTCTTTTTAAATTACAGAATTTAATTTTAAAAGGTAAAACAATTCACAGACATGAATTTCCAGTATGCATTTAGCTGCTTGACTTCACCTAACGTTTATGATGCTCTGCATTGTTTGCATAAACTATATTAGTAAATATAAAGATTTTGGTATAATCATGCCTTTTTGGAGCATGTCCAATTTTAATCATTTATAAGTTTAAAGGAGAACTATGGGGTTCAGGTTTTTCCCCATAGTTCTCCTTAGGGTAACGGGAGGACACAAACTAGCGTCCTTCCCGTCACCCTAGGCTCAGTATACCGCGAGCTGTAGCTCGCGGTATACTGAGACGCTGCAGCTGAAGCGGATCCATACAATTATGCCGGGATCCGCCCAGCTGCGTGACTGACAGCTGGCTCTGCCCGCCCTCTCCCCCGTCCGTTCCACCAGTCAGCGCGGGCGGAGCGGGGAATCCAGCCCCTCCCCTGTCACGGCAGAGAGCCGTGACAGGATCGAGAGGTGAGCGAATGCCGGTATGTGTTCGCTCACCTCCCGATCTACTGAGCCGACCTGTGAAAAGCACTCACCTCATAGTTCTCCTTTAAAGGAGAATGAAATACACTCCTCACCATAATTGGAGCCAACAAGGGACATTGAAGCTGTCACACTTCGGCCTTTATTGGTCGGGAACTGAACGATCAAATACTATGGATGGCCCAGTTCCCGATCCTAACCCTGCAGAGATTCCCCCCTCCCCTCTCTATTCCTCCGTCACTGGCTGGAGGGACAGAGAGAAGGGAGGGGGAGGCACAGTTGGCTCTGACTCTAGAGAAGCAGAGCCAGCTGTCAATCAGGTAGTGGGGTGGATCCTGACAATACTGTCGGGATCCAACCCGGCTTGCAATGCGGCTCTGCGCTGCCAGCTACATGCTGAGTCTTGGGTCACAGGAGGACATTAGTAAATGTCCACCTGTGACCTTAAAGAGAACTATGGGGGGGCAGGTGGGGCCATAGTTTTTAATAAGCAATACTCAAGCCCCAGGATGCTCAAAAAGGCAAATTCCAACTGTGATCAACACTTTTTGGTTTCATCCTATGCAAGCCCATCATCTTCTGCATCTCCTTTTTGGTCAATGGGAAGGTGCTAAAGTACTAGCTATTTCTTTATATATGATAAGATCTGGAAGACTTACACATCATAACCTATACCTCCTTGTGGTTAAAAAGGTTCCTGATGAAAACGGATGCTTCTGTAGACTGTACCTGAGTGTAGTGCACACTACATGTGACAAGGGTGGGTGTTTCCCCTTTTCTATGCTGTAATGAGATTTCAGGGAAACAGTTTCTAGGGTTAGCTTGTCAGTCTGTGCTGTGTGACAAATCTCTAAAACAGTTGTGCTGCTAATCCACAAATCAAAAGACAAGGAAACTTCATGATGCCAGAGACATCAATACCAGAAGCATCACTAAGGACACATAGGTCAATTCAGACAAAGAAAAAATATATTTTGGATACTGATGGGCCAACTTTAAAATTGCAATGTGATTACACATTTCTTTTAGGCTGGGTTCACACCTAGGCGTATCGAATATGCGCGTTTGGTAAGGACGTTTTTACAGCGATTCGCGCTTTAAAAAAACGTGCGACAAACGCACATTTCCGAGGGCTACTTGGCTGTATGCCAATGGAAACGCGTGACAAAAACGCCCCAAAGAAGCTCCTGTACTTCTTTGGGCGTAGCGCGTTCATACGGCCTGTAATACGCCCAGGTGTGAACCATACCCATAGGAAATAATGGGATTTCTGTGTTTGAGCGTTTTGCAGAGCGTTCAAACGCGCTACAAAACGCCCAGGTGTGAACCAGGCCTTAAAGAGCAAATCCATCCAAGTGTGTCATTGTGTTTACACATGGATTTTGCTGGGCCATTTCACCTGCAGACTATGTTTAGCTCCTGGGAACACCAATGATAATATATTTCTATTATAGTTACTCCCACTTTATAGCTTTGGGTGTTTCCAACCATCTTGTTTGATTCTCCAGAATATAAAATTAATTTAAAAAAATGTTACAGGATGCCTTTTAATAACCACAGCAATTTTGCATGTCCTCTGAACTCAAGTGCAGAGATCTCACCATCAGAATTCCTAAAAGATAAGAAACCACTGTGTTTCAGCACCTACCAAACAATAAAATACCATCTCTGGTTGCTCTTTTAAAAAGAAAATAAAAAGGCGGCTACATTAAGTGTATATATACACACACTTTTATAAAAAGTATACAGGCATGTCAATTCTGAAATGATACATACATTACAAAAAATATATTGATAACATATTGCAAAGTAATTCTTGCAGTGCTGCGATATATGTATGCCTGTGTGTGTGCGCGCATGTATAAAAGAATGTGAAACATTAATGTTCTTAGAGAAGATAAGACTTTCCTGACATTTCTTTACATCACAGTGGTAACTCTTCCCTTGTCAAAGTATTGCACTGCCCTTTGTATTACACACACTCCTAAGAACTCATGTCAATGGGCGTTCTTGTTAAACACAGCCATCTCCATTTGAATGCAGCGCTGCTCAAATGCAGTGTTCAAAAAGATATGGCTGCATTTTCCCTGCAGTTCAAACAAACCTTCATAGCATGTGGTGTGTCCAAAGAAACCATGCAGAGCAGATCAAACACGGTCTCCAGACGGTCATGTACACTGCTACTTTAAGAAGATAGGAATGTGCTGGCCTGCATTCACATGTTTCTTAAACACAATGTAGGAAAACGAGGCCCGTCATCATGAGCCCTAACTCATTTGGGAATTTAAGTTTAAGACTTCGATTTTGGCTTTCTTTCTTTTTTGGCTCAGTCTGATATTGTGTTCTGTTACTGCTTCATCTTCTGGGTCACTGTCAGAGCTTTCATCTGAACTGCTCTCCTCTTCTTCACTGGAGTCAGAACTGCTCAGTTCAACCAAAGCCACATCCTGCAACACAGAGATTCAATATTAGTGCCAACACGTTTACATAGGAAAAAGTGTGGACTAGCACCATTTCTAATAAATGAAAGGGACACTGTCATGAGAGATTAATGGGGGCTGCTATTACTGAACTCTCCTTTGAAAATGCTATATATATATATATATATATATATATATATATATATATATATATATATATATATATTTTAATAATGCAAATACTTTTACACAGGCATTAAAGCAAAATTAAACCCACTTATCCTTTAGCAGCCAAAGATGGCACCATTTTAGCCTCTATTTAGACCTGCAGTTGCCATGGTGCTGCACATGCGATAGGTGATAAGCTATGACACCAGCAATTTGATGGCTTGAAAGTTCGGTGGAGAGCAGACATAAGCACACTGGCAACTGTGACTGTTATCACAAGAGGTATGTCTTTATTTGTAGCATATATTGTCCACGCACTAGTAGGCAGAACGTAAATGAAACACTGCAGAAAAAATGTCCCTCAGAGTCCTCATGTCTAATGCAGGTCAATGGACCTGCAGTTGATGTGATGACATCAGCAGTCCTTAGACCACCAGAGCCCCAAGAAAGAAGAGACTGCAGGGAGTGGTCTAGCAGCCCAGCATGAGCAATCATCAGGTGAGTATATCTGATTAAAGCTGGCCATACACCTAGTGCAGATTTTCTATGATCAGATGGAAAAAGTGCAACAGATTCCTCCATCTACGCTAAACTGTGTGGATGGAGGAATCTCCCGCTGGGCCAAGCTTCAGTATCTTGCAAGTGGGCCCTGCTGGCTCTCAAAATACCTAAACAATGCCTGCATCCAATCAGATTGTTCAGGTATTTTGAGAGCCAGCAGGGCCCACTTGCAAGATACTGAAGCTTGGCCCAGCGGGAGATTCCTCCATCCACACAGTTTAGCGTAGATGGAGGAATCTGTTGCTCTTCTTCCACCTGACCATAGAAAATCTCCAGATAATCTATAGGTGTATGGTCAGCTTTATTTGATCCCCCTAGACCAAACATACACTTAACCATTGCATTGCAGGGTTAGCCCCACTGTAAGGGAAAGTTTTTTAAATCCCTGGAGTTCTTCTTTAAATCGATAGGGTTAGCGCTGCTTTAATATTGTAGAGAATACAGGGCACTTAATAAAAAATATATTTTAAAGCAGCATTCCAGTTTATGTACATGCAAGTGAACGGTTTTATCAGCCAAAAAAATTCTGTTCTGCTTCCCTTGTGATCCACACAAATTTTGCACATAATATTCAAGAAGACCACTACACTACTTCCTGGGTCTGCTTTAGTTTCCAGTGTCACCTCATTAAATGAATAAAACCAGTGTGAACATATTGATACATGGCCCAATGAGCAGACTGGAGGCAGAAAGTTGACACTAGAAACTGCACAAGTAAACCACTATTAAAGCGGACCTATACACTCAAAAATCTAATTCTACCAATGCAAACCTCTATGTATGATGATTAATAATAACACAGACATGTCAGGTGTAAAATGCTGAATATTTCTAAAGGTGCGTTTGTTATTTTTAAGATATGGGTAAAGGTCCGCTTTAAGGGGTGTTTGAATCACGGTGCTAGACACTCTTGAAGCCTAACAGCACAACACAGACAAACAACTCCACCTGCAGTTACGTAAAGAGTGCATGATCCAAGTATGTTTCAACACTTTATAAAACCACAAAAAAAGTACAGATCAGCACCTCTATGACATACATGATAAATTCCATCTTTAATAGGATAAATCTTCATAACAACATATCAAGACCACACAAATACATGGGCTTGGATATAAAATAATAAAAAGGTATTGTGTTCAGGCAAAGAGGTAATGCTGAAAGCAAACTTTTGCAGTGTTGTGGCATTAACCCGGCTTTTTCATCCCCATGTTGTTCCCTCCTGCCTGGGTATAGGCTGCTAGTAGTGTTTGTAGCAAGGAGGATGAAACTGACAGAAGAGCATTGTTTGATATTTACCATGACACTGAAAAGGAGACTAATTGTATTCTCTAGCTTCCCTAATAAAAAGAATATTTTGATACTGGTTACTAAAACCATCCTACTTGCCATTTCAATGATCTTTTCCCGATCTTCAACATTCTCTATGTCATAGGCCCCGGCTGGGCAGGTTTCAATGTCTTTGCTGAGTTTTTCATTGGCTGAGGCCATCTGAGGCAGGAAGCTCTGGACTCGGTCAAGTACTGTGACAACAAAACACAAGATAAACTAAAGTACATACAGTTGCAATAAATTGCAATAGCCACAAACATGGAGGTGACATGAATATAACATTCTTAGCAAAGGAATTGAATCCAGGGCCACAAATCTTGTACTGCCTTTGCATTATCAACCATGCAGCAAATGTATTCTAAAATGCACCATTTAATTGTCATTGAGTATTGAGAATTGAGTATATTGTAAATGCAAAGAAACTAAATTGTTCCACCAATGGTTGTAAAAATGCTGCAAAATTAGGGCTGAAACTAATGATTACTTTCATCAATGAGTTGGCCAATTTTTTTCGATCGGCTAAATACCATCCTTAATTTAAAATAAATTCACAAACGCAGTGTTACAGACAAAGTTTACTTCAGAATACAACTGCATGCACAATTGTTTGCAGTAGCACTGCACTGGAACGCACAGCATTGTGGTACCGCACGTTCCAGTGCGGGCGATCACACTGTGGGTGGTAGGTGCGTTTGGGGTGTCATTAAAATGAAATGGCACTGCAACGCACCTACCGCAGCAGAATTTGTCAGGCCGAAACCAAAAATTACTTTTTTCCCATCTTTTATCATTTAAAAAAAAAAAAATTGTATTGTAAGCGCATTGCTGAAGATGTATTGACCAATTAATCAGCGCTTAGTGGAGGTCTCCATATATCAAAATCAGAAGGGATTTTCAGAGATGGACATCAATAAATTGGCATGGAGGGGGCTGCTGTTCGATAGCAGGTTGGGAAGCCTCAGGGAACATGTAAGACAAGAAAAGAAAAAAAGGACGGCGCCTTCTCCTCGTGAAATACCATTTATTAGTCCAAGACAAAGATTCTGGACCACATTTCGGTTGTCGGTTGCTTCATTATGCCGTATGCTTTGTCAAAGACACCGTTTGTGAGTATTATTTTATTCCGTTTAATTTTTTGTTGACTAACAAACGGTATTTCACAAGGAGAAAGCACCGTCCTTTTTTTTTCTTTTCTTGTCTTACGTTGTCTACGTTTTGTAGCGCGTTCAACGCTCTACGAACGCTCTACAAAATGCTCAAACATGAAAATCCCATTGTTTTCTATGGGTATGGTTCACACCTTGCCGTATTTCAGCCCGTCTGAACGCGCTACAAAACGGCCTACGCCTGAAAAAGGTACGAGCTTCTTTGCGGCGTTTTCATTGGGATACAGCCAAGTAGCCCTCGGAAACGCGCGTTTGTCGCGCGGTTTTTGTAACCGCGATAAAAACGTGCGCCACGAAACGCGTGACAAACGCGCATATTCGATACGCCTAGGTGTGAACAGAGCCTTACATGTAAGCACATTTCGCTTGAATAGTTTCAGCCAGGGAATGACAGCTGCCAGTGGCAATATTCCGCAGACAGCTGAATGTAAATACAGCAGGTAGTGGGCAGGTGCAATACCCAGCCTACTATTGGCCATTTCAAATTGCAATAGCCGGCTGGCTATTGCACCTGCCCACTGCTTGCTGTGTCCTCCTTCACAGCGTGGAGGAGAGAGCTAGGGGATCCAACCAACTAATCGATAATGGGAATAGTTGGAACTATTCTCATTATCGATTAGTTGGCCGCAGCCCTATGCAAAATATACATTTAAAATAAGCATTTATACAAAGCACTTGAAAACGGACTTACTGCTGCTCCGTGGCATTCTAACAATTGGTGAAGACAAGGCAGTTTTGTTGTTCTGCTTCGAATTTAGCAATAACTTGTTGTACAGACCTTTAGGAACAACAAAAGTAAGACAGGTTATGTTATGTAAAGGAAAAAAAATAAAACCCCTTTATCTAATTCCCTTTATTGCCATCACATCAAGGTCCCTACACATCACTTCCCATTCTCTGTAGAGCACCTCAAGAGCATGAATACTATGGTGCTTTGATATAAAATTAACAGCCAGCTCTCGTGGTCACCAGACTTGGCTTCCCCAATCACATCTCCTATGTTTTAAAGTGATATTAAAGTCAAAAGGTGTTAAACTATTTCAAATGCTGATTAAATCCCTTACAATGGATGCAGCTAATAGATGTTTAAATTTTAGCTTCCTGCACAACCGGCTGGTCCTCCGAGTACTGGCCCTGATATCCTGTTTTAACCAGTTGACATCCGCGGTGTTAAACCCCCTTCCCATCACCTTTTCTGCTAGGGGGCGCGCGCGAGCAGAAAAATAATGCCGTCTGGCGACGGCAACCCGCCAATGCAGCAGTGCCGTCCGTCTGTTTTTTTACAACGGGCGGACGGCAAGAGGTTAAGGTGGCTCCTTTCCCTTGCAGGGTCGTATGGAACCAACCTTGTGTGTGATAGTAAGCTGCGTGTGTCTCCACAAACACACTGACACAGCAAGGCAATACAATTCCCTGTTCCCACTCTTCTTCCCTTCTTTCAAGCTAGTACATAAATAGTTGCTGGAGACTGCTCTGTCCCTTCTGATCTTGAACTGGACATGAAGTTCAGGGAAGCAGAGCCAAGAGAGTTCGAGCCAGCTGTTTGGAAACATGATGATTGTAAGCACTTGGGTAAAAATGTAAAGCAATGCTTTGCCGGACAATGTATATTTGTTTGATCTGAATTCATTACTGAAAAAAATAGAGAGTATATGCTACTTTTATGTTGGTTTGTGAATTTGCCCATTACAGTCATGTAAGAGAAAAAGGGGGGCAAGAGACAACCATGGCAGATGGATGCAATTTTGCTGTTTATTATTGGTATTTATATTATGCTGACAATTTACACAGTGCTTTCCATAGTTGCACATTCACATCAGTCCCTGCCCTCAAGCAGCGCACAATCTAAGGTCCCTATCTCACATGTATACAAAGAGGGCCAATTTATACAGGAATCAATTAACCTTCCAGCATGTCTCTGGAGTGTGGGAGGAAACCAGAGTACCTGGAGGAAAGTAACTTACATAATTTGAAAAATAAGAAAACACAAACCCCAAAACATTCCAAAATACATAGAACAGGGCTGGACAAATACCAAATCCTGGATTCCATAATAATTTGCCCACCCCTGACATGGAAGCTAACCCATATATAGCTATCAATCATATCAGTGTGTCAGGAGTACACCTACTGGCATCATGCATTTATAGTTCCTATACACAGCTAAGTACACTGATATTGACAAGTGTTTGCATTTCTCAACGTAGCAGTGGACTGCAAAATGTAAACGAAAACACAATCAACTTTAACTTCGATAGCAGAAAAATAACACTTGACTGTTGGTAGTTGTAAAAGGGTTTAAATGTAGCATCTAAGTGTCACTGTTCGGAATTCAGTCTCAGGTGACCTACGGCTTTCTATTGTATTCTACTAATGGCTGTGCTCTGCTGTCATCACCTTGTGAAGAACCAACTTCCAACAACTCTCCAGACCGGACTTGCTTCACTGTCTGCCCCTCCACTTCTTCCATCTTCTCTGATCAGACTGCTGCTAAACACAAGCACGTGAGACTGTGTGCGCCCAACAAGAAGTCGGCAGCACAATGATGACGTCACTCATTGCCCGGTCACTGGCGGCCATGATAGAAAAGGGAGGGACGTCGCTACCTGTTCCAGTATGTGTTTATGGCTGTTGTCTGGTGTTTTACAGAAGCAACTATTAACAGAAATACTCTGATTATATGTACACTTTGCTTCTCAAAGGAGACAGATCGACGTATCTCCTGACATTCTCACCTTACATATTTGTTTAATAAAAAAGAGCTAACGTGACCTCTGGTGGAGAGATGTGTGTACTACACCCTAATACTTAAAGGGAAACTCTACTTTAACCACTTCAAGACCAGGTGTTTAGACCCCCTTCCTGGCCAGGCCATTTTTCAGTATTCAGCGCTGCGATACTTTGACTGACGTTTATTCCGTCATGCAACGCTGTACTGAGATGAATTTTATACCATTTTTTGGGGACAGATAGAGCTTTCTTTTGGGGGTATTTAATCACCACTACGATCCCCATTTTTTTTTCACACATATTATCCACTTGCTGTCCGGGGCATTTTTTTTACTATTTGCGCACACATGATAAAATAAAAATTTTTGGCTAGAAAACAGCTTCAGACCCCCAAACAATGACATATGTTCTGAAAGCAGAGGCCCTGTAGAATAAAGAAATGCTAGTTGCAATTTTTTATGTCGCATGGTTTTTGTGCAAATGTTTATCAAACCCGTATTTTTAGGGGAAAAAAAATTAAAATTTAGTGCACAGAAACATAATATAATACCCAATGTTTTGGTAAAATATGAAAGACGGGATCACGTCGGGTAAATAGATACCAAACATGTTAAGCCTTAAAATTGCGTTCTCCCGTGAGGCCGCAAAAAACTTTAACACTCAAAATTTCCCACAGGGAACACTTTAAATGCTTTTACCGCTCATCAGTTTAGTGTTAACAGTGATTGATGGCCCTAGAATTATTGCTCTCACTCCGACGTTCACGGCGATATGTAACATGTGTAGCGCAATTGTCGTTTTCGCACAAACGCGTGTTTGCATGTGGGGAGCTTAACAATTTTTTTGGTGCATTTTTTAATTTTTCTTATATGTTACTTTCATTTTTATAATTTTTAAACACTTTTTTTTCTACACTAACCCTGTTAGTGTAGAGAAAAACTAACAAGCCCCCAATGTAATAGCAGATAGGGTGTGACAACGCCTCTTTATGGGAGACATCAGGGGTCTTTCAGACCCCTAATGTCACCTAGGGAACCCAAAGAAGCTGAGGAAGCAGAGATCTGCTTCCCCAGCTTCATCTCCTGGCTCTAAGAACAGGAGACTGTAAAAGTGACATCGGAAGTCATGTAATACACATCACCTCCGGGTCCAGTCTTTGAAGGATCATT